TACACAAATATTTCCAATGCTTTCTGTGTGCAACTGATTCACTGGGGTTGCGTGGTTCCTGTGCACAAACCCCCAATTGCACAAAAGGGCATGGAATATCTTGGTAGAGCAACAGTTATATGTGTTGTCGTTTTACCAGGTCTTCAGCCTTCTCTGCCCAAGAGTGCTGTGGACTCTGCAAACTGCAACTCCCATGATCCCACAGCATTGAGCCAAGGCCATTCAAGTGATGCCAAACTGCAACCACTGAGCCTTAAAGTGGCATTGAACTATATTATTTCTGTAGTACAGACGCAACCCAGAGTGATGACATCAGGAGGGTTGTGCTTTTACAAGGTCTTTAGCCTCCTCTACCAAACTAGAACTCCCAGGATTCCATAACATTGAGCCAGGGCCACTAAGGCCGCATTGAGTACTTTACTAATGCAGAGATATGGGGTGGATCCATGGCACGGTGAGCAAAAAGAGAGTTTGGGGAAATCCACAGGATGTGGCATTTCCCCTGGCAGTGAATAAACAATGCCTATGAGTCAGTTCTTGTGGGTTTTTTCGGGCTATATGGCCATGTTCCAGAGGCATTTCTCCTGACGTTTCGCCTGCATCTATGGTAAGCATCCTCGGAGGTGAGGTCTGCTGGAACTGGGAAAAAAGGGGTTTATATATCTGTGGAATGACTCGGGTGGGGCAAAGGGCTTTTGTAAGTTGAGCTAGGTGTGAGTCTTTTCAACTGACCACCTTGATTAGCATACAATGGGCTGGCTGTGCCTGGAGCAAACTCTTCTTGAAAGGTGTTAGATGTCCCTGCCTGTTTTTCTCTCTGCTGTTATTGCTGTTGCAATTTTAGAATTTTTTAATACTGGTAGCCAGATTTTGTTCATTTTCATGGTTTCCTCCTTTCTGTTGAAATTGTCCACATGCTTGTGGATTGTAATGGCTTCTCTGTGTAGCCTGACATGGTGGTTGTGAGAGTGGTCCAGCATTTCTGTGTTCTCAAATAATATGCTGTGTCCAGGTTGGTTCATCAGGTGCTCTGCTATGGCTGACTTCTCTGGTTGAAGGAGTCTGCAGTGCCTTTCATGTTCCTTGATTGGTGTATGCTGCTGCGTTTGGTGGTCCCTATGTAGACTTGTCCACAGCTGCATGGTACACGGGAGACTCCTGTAAAAGTGAGAGGATCCCTCTTGTCCTTTGCTGAACGGAGCATTGGTTGGATTTTCTTGGTGGGTCTGCAGATTGTAGACTACACAGAGAAGCCATTGAAATCCACAAACATGTGGACAATTTCAACAGAAAGGAAGAAACCATGAAAATGAACAAAATCTGGCTACCAGTATTAAAAAATTCTAAAATTGCAACAGCAAAAACAGCAGAGAGAAAAACAGGCAGGGACATCTAATCACCTTTCAAGAAGAGTTTGCTCCAGGCACAGTCAGCCCATTGTATGCTAATCAAGGTGGTCAGTTGAAAGATTCACACCTAGCCCAACTTACAAAAGCCCCTTTGTCTCAGCCTGGTCATTCCACAGATATATAAACCCCTTTTTTCCCAGTTACCAAACAGACCTCACCTCTGAGGATGCTTGCCATGGATGCAGGCGAAACGTCAGGAGAAATGCCTCTAGAACAGTGGTTCTCAACCTTCGTAATGCCGCGACCCCTTAATACAGTGCCTCACGTTGTGGTGACCCCTAACCATAAAATTATTATTATTGCTACTTCCTAATTATAATTGTGTTACTGTTATGAATCATAATGTAAAAATCTGAAATGCAGGATGTATTTTCATTCACTGGACCAAATTTGGCACAATACCCAACAACAGAATTCCATGCCGTCATGTCAGCCACATGACCTTGGAGGTGTCTATGAACAACGCCGGCTCTTTGGCCTAGAAATTGAGCACCAACTCCCAGAGTTGGACACGACTGGACTTAATGTCAGGGGAAAACTTTTACCTTACGTTATCCAATATGCCCAAATTTGAATACTGGTGGGGTTAGAGGGAAAATTGATTATGTCATTTGGAAGTTGTAGTTGCTAGGATTTATAGTTCACCTACAATTAAAGAGTATTTTGAACTCCACCAATGATGGAATTGGACCAAACTTGGTACACAGAACTCCCACAACCAACGAAAAATACTGGAAGGGTCTGGTGAGCACTGACCTTGAGTTTGGGAGTTGTAGTTCACCTGCATCCAGAGTGCATTGCAGACTCACACAATGATGGATCTGGACCACACTTGGCACAGATACTCAATATGCCCCAATGTGAACACTGGTGGAGTTTGGGGAAAATAGACCTTGACATTTGGGATATGCAGTTGCTGGGATTTATAGTTCACCTGCAACGAAGAGCCCTTGCCTGCTCCGCACCCCTGCCGGCCGGCGGGAGAGCGGAGCAGGCGAGGGCGCCTGGCGCAAGGCCTTGCACCAAAGGCCCCCTTGCTCCGCAGTCCTGCCTGCCGGCGGGAGAGCAGAGCAGGCGAGGGGCACCCAAGGAGCCACTCGCACATCCCTCACCTCCTTCTGCCATCAGAAGGAGATGAGGGACGGGCAGATGGCTTCGCGCGGGAATGCCAGTGGCGCAGGGGGTCGGCCACCATTTTGGAGGGGGCGTGGCCAGCCAATGCGGCTTCGCGACCCCCAGAAATTGGCCAAACGACCCCCCGAGGGGTCGCGACCCCCAGGTTGAGAACCGCTGCTCTAGAACATGGCCATATAGCCTGAAAAAACCCACAAGAACTGAGTGATCCCAGCCATGAAAGCCTTCGACAATACAATGCCTATGAGGTTTCTCTAAGGAGGAATGCAAACCCCTTGCATTGGTTGGTGTGAGAGAGGTTCAGGATAGTCTTCAGGGGCCAGGAGTGGGTCTGCTGGCCATGCACAGCCAAGGAGAACCAGAAGGCGCCCAATGTTCCCACCCTCATCGAGAAATGGTACTTTGGCACACTGGAATGCCCTTTTGCTGCAGGAAGATACTGTTTCTCTTTCTCTTAGACCATGAACCAGATGAAGTATGACCATCAGAAGAAGACCTACAAGCCACTCTCAACGCCTTTGAAGAAGAATATGAGAAGCTCATTGAACATTAAGAAAACCCAAGTGCTCTTCCAGCAGTCACCAGCCAATCCCTCTCCAAGGCCAGAGATACAGCTTAATGGTGTAACTGTTGATTCTGAGTCTGGAACGGAACCCTGTGGGTCTTGTGAGCCAGACTTCCCTGATGAAGAGGATGATGGGATTCAGATTTCTGTGGTGCCTGCCTCAGACAGTGCGGCAGGAGAGACATCAAGTCACTTCTGAGGGGGAAAGAATGTCAGTGGGATAGAGAACGGCCAGGTGGAGTTGTCTTCCCCTCCTCAGTCTAGAACATGCCTCTAGAACATGGTCATATATCCCGACAAAACCTACAACAACCCACTTTACCTTTACCTTCCAACAGACCTCTGAAGATGCCATTAGCCACAGATGCAGGCAAAACATTAGGAGAGAATCATAGAATCCTAGAATCAAAGAGTTGGAAGAGACCTCCTGGGCCATCATCCATCCAACCCCATTCTGCCAAGAAGCAGGAATATTGCATTCAAATCACCCCTGACAGATGGCCATCCAGCCTCTGTTTAAAAGCTTCCAAAGAAGGAGCCTCCACCAACACTTTGAATTATAAGGTTTTGCCAAAGGCAGTCTATTCATAGAATCATAGATCATAGAATCAAAGAGTTGGAAGAGACCTCATGGGCCATCCAGTCCAACCCCATTCTGCCAAGAAGCAGGAATATTGCATTCAAAGCACCCCTGACAGATGGCCATCCAGCCTCTGTTTAAAAGCTTCCAAAGAAGGAGCCTCCACCACACTCCCTCCGGGGCAGAGAGTTCCACTGCTGAAGCTCTCACAACCACACGTTTAGAATCATAGAATCCTAGAGTTGGAAGAGACCTCCTGGGCCATCCAGTCCAACCCCATTCTGCCAAGAAGCAGGAATATTGCATTCAAAGCACCCCTGACAGATGGCCATCCAGCCTCTGTTTCAAAGCTTCCAAAGAAGGAGCCTCCACCACACTCCCTCCGGGGCAGAGAGTTCCACTGCTGAACGGCTCTCACAGTCAGGAAGTTATAGAATCCTAGAATCCTAGAGTGGGAAGAGACCTCCTGGGCCCTCATCCAGTCCAACCCCATTCTGCCAAGAAGCAGGAATATTGCATTCAAATCACCCCTGACAGATGGCCATCCAGCCTCTGTTTCAAAGCTTCCAAAGAAGGAGCCTCCACCACACTCCGGGGCAGAGAGTTCCACTGCTGAACGGCTCTCACAGTCAGGAAGTTATAAATCCTAGAATCCTAGAGTTGGAAGAGACCTCCTGGGCCCTCATCCAGTCCAACCCCATTCTGCCAAGAAGCAGGAATATTGCATTCAAATCACCCCTGACAGATGGCCATCCAGCCTCTGCTTAAAAGCTTCCAAAGAAGGAGCCTCCACCACACTCCGGGGCAGAGAGTTCCACTGCTGAACTGCTCTCACAGTCAGGAAGTTATTAGAATCATAGAATCAAAGAGTTGGAAGAGACCTCCTGGGCCATCATCCAGTCCAACCCCATTCTGCCAAGAAGCAGGAATATTGCATTCAAATCACCCCTGACAGATGGCCATCCAGCCTCTGTTTAAAAGCTTCCAAAGAAGGAGCATCCACCACACTCCCTCCGGGGCAGAGAGTTCCACTGCTGAATGGCTGCTGGAAGATGGCCAGACAGCCCAAAAAACTCAAAACAACCCATTTCCGAGAGGGTGACGTAAAACAGAACAAAGCAGTAAAGGATCTTTGTACCCAAATCCGAGAGGCTGTAGGTTTTCTCTCCGAAGGTGATGCGATTCTGCTTGTAAACGGGAGGTTTGCAGTTGCGTTGGAAGGCCAAGGCGTGGAGCAGATGGGAAGGGCGCCGCTGATCTCGCCACTGGTTCGGACCAGAGCTGCCGGCAGGAAGACAAAAGACACATTAGGCACATCGTTCTCACAGGTTCCCAAAGGCATTCCGCATTCCGGCGCAGCTTGGCGGGGTCTGTGCAGAAGAAGCCCCTGCCCAATTGTTGCCATGGGCTGCCAGACACTTGCACAATCTACATAAACAAAAGTGTCATGTTCGTTTGTGGGATTAACAGAACTCAAAAACCACTGGACGAATGGACACCAAATTTGGACACAAGGCACCTCTCAGGCCAACGAGTGACCATCACCCATAAACACACTGAAAAACGCAGCAAAAGAGACGTAAAAAGCAAAAGAAGAAGAAGAATACATTATAATGCATGCGCAATACCACATATATATACACAAACACACATATACACATATACACCCACACAAAACACATATACACAGATTGGGCCACAGCAACGCCTGGCAGGGGATAGCTAGTCTATATAAATACAAATGTCATGTTCGTTTGTGGGATTAACAGAACTCAAAAACCACTGGACGAATGGACACCAAATTTGGACACAAGGCACCTCTCAGGCCAACGAGTGACCATCACTCATAAACACACTGAAAAACGCAGCAAAAGAGACGTAAAAAGCAAAAGAGACGTAAAAAGCAAAAGAAGAAGAAGAATACATTATAATGCATGCGCAATACCACATATATATACACAAACACACATATACACATATACACCCACACAAAACACATATACACAGATTGGGCCACAGCAACGCCTGGCAGGGGATGGCTAGTCTATATAAATACAAATGTCATGTTCGTTTGTGGGATTAACAGAACTCAAAAACCACTGGACAAATTGGCACTAAATTTGGTCACAATGCACCTAACAACCCAGTTATGTCGTTCACTCAAAAAAAATGATTTTGTCATTTGGGAGTTGTAGTTGCTGGGATATATAGTTCACCTACAATCAAAGAACATTCTCAACCCCACCAATGATGGAATTGAACCAAACTTGGCACACAGTTCTCCCGTGACCAACAGAAAATACTGGAAAGGTTTGGTGGGCAGTGTCCTTTGGTTTTGGAGTTGTAGTTCACCTACATCCAGAGATCACTGTGGACTCAAGCAATGATGGATCTGGACCAAACTCTACACGAATACTCAATATGCCCAAATGTGAATACTGGTGGAGTTTGGGGAAAATATAATCTTGACATTTGGGAGTTGTAGTTGCTGGGATTTGTAGTTCACCTACAATCACAGAGCATTCTAAACCCCACCAATGATAGAATTGGGCCAAACCTCCCACAGAGAACCCCCATGACCACCAGATTGGGCCACAGCAACGCGTGGCAGGGGACAGTTCGTCTATATAAATAAAAATGTCATGTTAGTTTGTGGGATGAACAGAACTCAAAAACCACTGGGTGAAATTACACCAAATTTGGACACAAGACACTGATCAGGCCAATGAGTGACCATCACTCCTAAAAACACTGAAAAGCACATCAGAAGGGACTTAAAAAGCCAAAAATTAAATACATTACAACACATGCACATAACCACATATATAAACATATGCACAAATATACACGCACATATACACATATATACACACACAAACACATATACACAGACTGGGCCACAGCAATGCGTGGCAGGGTACGTCTAGTAATCTATATAAATAAAAATGTCATGTTCGTTTGTGGGATTAACATAACACAAAAACCACTGGGCAAATTGCCACCAAATTTGGACACAAGACACCTCTCAGGCCAACGAGTGACCATCAGCCATAAACACACTGAAAAACACAGCAGAAGGGACTTAAAAATTCAAAAAGGCAAAAAGACACTACAGCGCATGCGCAAAAACGACTCCCTTGGCAAACAAAACACACAAAATAGCATATCTACTCTTTCTTCCGGACTACATCTCCCAGCATCCCCTAGACCAGGCCCTTTAGGAGAGTAGGATGACTCAAATGCACTGCTTGCAAGCTGCAAGCTTTTTCCTCCTTGGATTTCTTTGAGAGCATCGCCATCCCTGCAGATTTCCCATTTCCTATTCCTGGACTGCAACTCCCAGCAATCCTCCAGATAGATAACATAGATAGATTAGATATAGGTAAACAGATAGATCAGGAGGACTGCTGGGAGTTGTAGTCCAAGAATAAATAGAGAAGGAAGAAAGGGGAGAAAGAGGAAGGGAAAGAAAAGGGTGGAAAGGAAGGGAAGAAGAGAAGGAAGAAAGGAAGGAAAGAAGAGAGAAAGGAAGGAAGGAAGGAAGGAAGGAAGGAAGGAAGGAAGGAAGGAAGGAAGGAAGGAAGGAAGGAAGGAAGAAGGAAGGAAAGAAGAAAGAAAGAAAGAGGGAAGGAGAAAAGAAGGGAGAAAGAAGGAAGGAGGAAGGAAGGAAGGAAGGAAGGAAGGAGGAAGGAAGGAAGGAAGGAAGAGGAGATAAAGGAAAGGAAGAAGAAGAGAAAGAAGGAAGGAAGAGGAAGGAAGGATAATTCACTTCGAAGCAGATAATGTGCTAGGAGTTGCAGTCCGAGAATAGGTAGAGAAGGAAGGAAAGAGAGAAAGAGGAAAAGAAAGAAAAGGGAGGAAAGAAGGAAGGGAAGAGGAAGAGAAGGAAGGAAGGAGAGAAAGAAGAAAGAAAGAAAGAAAGAAAGAAAGAAAGAAAGAAAGAAAGAAAGAAGAGAAGAAGGAAGGAGAGAAGAAGAAGAAAGAAAGAAGAAGAAAGAAAGAGAGAAAGAAGGAGAGAAAGAAGGAGAGAAAGAAAGGAAGGAAGGAAGGAGGAAGGAAGGAAGGAAGGAAGGAAGGAAGGAAGGAGGAGAGAAAAGAAGGAAGGAAGAAGGAAGGAGGAAGGAAGGAAAGAAGGAGAGAGGAAGGAGGAAAGAAAAGAAGAGAAGAAAGAAAGAAAGAAAGAAAGAAAGAAAGAAAGAAGAGAAGAGAAAGAAAGAAGGAAGGAAGGAAGGAAGGAGGAAGGAAGGAAGGAAGGAAGGAAGGAAGGAAGGAAAAGGAGGAAGGAAGGAAGGAAGGAGAGAGAAGGAAGAAGGAGGAGGAAGGAAGGAGAAGGGAAGGGAAGGAAGGAAGGAAGAAAGGAGGGAGGAAGGAAGGAAAGGAAGGAAGAAGGAAGGAAGAGGAAGGAAGGAAGGAAGGAAGGAAGGAAGGAAGGAAGGGAAGGAGGAAGGAAGGAAAGAGAGAAGGGAGGAAGGAAGGAAGGAAGGAAGGAAGGAAGGAAGGAAGGAAGGAAGGAAGGAAGGGAGGAAGGAAGGAAGGAAGGGAAGGAAGGAAGGAAGGAAGGAAGGAAGGAAGGAGAGAAAGGAAGGAAGGAAGGAAGGAAAGGAAGGAAGGAAGGAAGGAAGAGGGAAAAAAAAGAAAGGAAGAAGAAGAGAAGAAAGAAAGAAAGAAGAGAGAAAGAAGGAAGAAGGAAAGGAAGGAAGGAAGGAAGAGGAAGGAAGGAAGGAAGGAGGAAGGAAGGAAGGAAGAGGAAAGGAGAGGAAGGAAGGAAGGAAGGAAGGAAGGAAGGAAGGAGGAAAGGAAGGAGAGAAGGAAGGGAGGAGAGAGGAAGAATTGGAACGGAAGGAGAAGGAAGGAAGGAAGGAAGGAAGGAAGGAAGGAAGGAAGGAAGGAGAGGAAGAAAGGAAGGAAGGAAGGAAGGAAGGAAGGAAGGAAGGAAGGAAGGAGAGAAAGGAAGGAAGGAAGGAAGGGAGGAAGGAAGGAAGAGAAAGGGAGGGAGGAGAGAAAGGAAGGAAGGAGAGAAAGAAAGAAAGAAAGAAAGAAAGAAAGAAAGAAAGAGAGAGAGAAAGAAAGAGAGAGAGAAAGAGAGAAAGAAAGAGAGAAAGAAAGAAAGAAAGAAAGAAAGAAAGAAAGAAAGAAAGAAAGAGGGGGAGAGAGAGGAAGGAAGGAAGAAAGAAAGAAAGAAAGGAAAAGGGGAAGGAAGGCGAGAAAGAAAGAAGAGAAGGAGGGAGGGAAGGTTGGCCACAACAACACGTGGCAGGTACAGCTAGTGCTCAAGGAGGGAGCAAGCTGCTTCAGATGGAGGGAGGCCAATACCTTGAAACGAATGTGATCTCATCTTATAGAGAGAGATCCAGATTGGAGAAGGTGCCAACCATTTGGGAATGACATTTCAGGATTTCTTTTTGGGGATCAATTCCCCTTATCTCTCCCAATTGATGCCTCTCCTGGAGGAGAGCAAGGCACTTTTCCCTCTGTCCCTGGAAGTAGGTTATGGTTTCACCCACATGCAGTAGGTCTGTGGGAGGCCACAGCGGGCCCCGAACCGGGAGAGGAAGCGGTTCTCGAGGTCGATGGTGGTCTCCCCGATCTTCTCGTCCTTGGAGAGCAGGTCGTAGTCGTAGAGGGTGACCTTCAGGTCCTTCTCCAAGGGCAAGGTGCAGCTCAGCTCAAACATCCTACAGACAGAGAGAGAAAGAGGCAGCAAGGAAGGCTGGCTTCAGTCTCAACGGCAGCAAATATTCCAGTAGCATTCTCTCCTGACATTTCATCTGCATCTGTGGCTAATGGCATCTTCAGAGGTTCTGTTGGAAGTGACCCAAGTGGAGTGAATATAATATACCAATTTAATAATGTCACTAGGTTGCTGTGAGTTTTCCAGGCTGTATGGCCATGTTTCAGTAGCATTCTTTCCTAACGTTTTGCCTGCATTTGCGTCTAATGGCATCTTCAGAGGTCTGCTGGAAATGAGGCAAGTGGAGTGTATATAATATTCTTGTGGAATAATGTCCAGGATGGGCAAAAGAACACTTGTCTGTGTAATGCAACTGGTAATGTTGCAATTGGCAAGCTTGAATAGCATTGAGTAGCCTTGCAGCTGCAAAGTCAATCAGTGAGGGTATCAGCAAAGAGGTAGCCTGGCTTCTGTTGCTGGGAGACACCCACTGTTTGGGAGGTGTTAACCGGAGCTTGATTGGTTGATGTCTGGAGTTCTCCTGTTGATACGTCCCAAACAGAGGGTGCCTCCAGGCAACAACAGTCAAGCTACCTCTATGCAGATACTATCCCTGATTGACTTTGCAAACTTCATGGCTACTCAATGCTATTCAAGATTGCTAATTGCAACATTCACACTTGCTTCAAACAGGCAATCATAGAATCAAACAGTTGGAAGAGACCTCATGGACCATCTAGTCCAACCCCATTCTGCCAAGAAGCAGGACAATTGCATTCAAAGCACCCCCAACAGATGGCCATCCAGCCTCTGCTTAAAACCCTCTATAGAAGGAGCCTCTACAACACAGGAATATTGCATTCAAATCACCCCTGACAGATGGCCCTCCAGCCTCTGTTTCAAAGCCTCCAAAGAAGGAGCCTCCACCACACTCCAGGGCAGAGAGTTCCACTGCTGAACGGCTCTCACAGTCAGGAAGTTCTTCCTCATGTTCAGGTGGAATCTCCTCTCTTGTACTTTGAAGCCATTCCTCCATTGCGTCCTAGTCTCCAAGGAAGCAGAAAGGAAGCTTGCTCCCTTCTCCTTGTGGCTTCCTCTCACATATTTATACATACTTATACATGGCTATCATATCTCCTCTCAGCCTTCTCTTCTGCAGGCTAAACATGCCCAGCTCTTTAAGCCGCTCCTCATAGGGCTTGTTCTCCAGACCCTTGATCATTTTAGTCGCCCTCCTCTGGACACATTCCAGCTTAGAGTCAATATCTCTCTTCAATTGTGGTGCCCAACAAGTGTTCTTTCAAATTCCGTTCAAAGCACCCCCAACAGATGGCCATTCTCCTTCTGTTTAAAAGCCTCCATAGAAGTAGCCCCCATCACACTTCAGGGCAGAGAGTTCCACTGCTGAACAGCTCTCACAGTCAGGAAGTCCTTTTTGGACCCTGATCCTGTCCTCTGTGGCATTAGCTATCCCTCCCTGTTTGGTCCCATCTGCATATTCGACCAGCTTGCTTTCTATTCCATCATCATCATCATCATCATCATCATCATCATCATCATCATCATCATCCAAATTGAGGATAATGATGCTGAATAGACCCGAAAGGCTGCTTCTCTCCAAGAGGAATAAAAGACCCAACTCCATGCATCGCACATGAATGCTCACTTTCCAAAGACGGGCTCCAAGGTGCACGGGATGTAGTTGTCCTGGTCGTTGATGGACTTCTTCCCCACCGAAATCTTGACGTAAGGGTCGCACTGCAGAGGGGAAAGGAATGAATCATCATTGCATTATCATCATCATCATCATCATCATCATCATCATCATCATCATCATCATCACGACAGTAGTAATCCTTGCCTACTTCATGCCCAATCTCTGCCCTTGTCCTTATTCATGGGTGTTCTGTGGCGTGCTGGGCCTGTAACAGCTATACTTTTCTATAGGACGTATACTTTAAGCCCAGCGGGAAGCCAGGGCGCCTCAAAGAGAGGTTCTCAGGGATTTCTCTGCAGTTATGGTCTTTAGAGTCTTTAATGATACAACAAAGTCTTTATTATGGAACAAACAACAAATCTTCAATGGTTCAAACAACACTTCAAGGCTTTCTTAGTCTAGTCCTCAATGGGCTGGTACCTGACTTTGATTAACATAACCTTCTCTGTAGGAAAAGAAAACCTTATTTAACCCCTCCCAGGCTGTTTACTATCTATGCCTCATCGGTGTGGGTCCTACTACCGATTCCAAATGCGCCTGGGTATCGAGTAGACCTACCAGCCGAGGCTTGAAGATATTTCAGCTGGAGTCCCGTGGATCTGTAGTGCTGTCCTCCCTCAGAGAATTCTTCGAAAACTTCAGGGCTGTTTTCCTTCTGATTGCTGTGAGGCTGAGAGGCTGTGAGCTGTCAGCCAGAGCCTTGGGACCTTTTCCCTGGAATTTCTGTGTCTGTTTCCCCGGATGTTCTTGAGAAAAGAAGCTTTTCTACAGGACGAGCTGGTTTACGTCCTATAGCTTAGCTTCCTTATGTGAGACTGCCCAAAAAATGGCTCCTTTCCCTCCCAGAGCCCTGAACAATGGGCGGAACCAAAACTTAACGATGATGGACAGGTGACTTGCCCTACGACTGCAACCAAAGGAAGCCACCTTTCTGCAGAATCCCTGAAACCTTGGACTGCAAGCAAACATTTAATACAAAGCAAATAAAGTTGGAGCTCCTGGTACAGCCGTACCAGCACAATGGGACAACAGCAGAGATCAGGCATGAAACAAGCAGGGACTGTTGTTGGGTTGTGTTGTTATTATGCTTCACCTCTACCATTTCAAATCTTCCCTTTGCCCAAAATCTGCCTGGCTTCAGGAGCAGAATCTATTTCATTTTTCAATTGTTTACTCAAATGACATATATGACTACATCTTATGTATTTTAATAACAACAACAACAATAACAACGACAACTTGCCTCTCCTTGTGGCTCAAGGCGGATTACAGCATAATTAAAATTCATAAACACTGTAAAAATCTATAAATACACATATTTAAATATATTTATATAAAATACATATTAAAATGCACAAAACAGAGATTAAACACAAGACACAAGTTTAAGATTCATGCTTTAAAGTGTCTGGAAGAGATAGATAATCTTTAGATGATATTAATTGTTTATTTCCTTCCACTATGTATTTAAATATATTTCTATGCTTAATTATATTTTAATGTTTGTATGTGTTTTTTAGGTTTAAAATTATATATTGTTAGGAATGGTGGGAGTTGAAGTCCAAAACACCTGGAGGGAGGGCCAAAGTTGGCCCATGCCTGGTCTACCCACGGACCGTATATTGTACTTTGAAACTACATTATACAGCAGTGTGGATGTGATCTTGGAAAGTGATTAGGGGACTGAAGAAATGTAGACTACGTTAATTTGGACCCCTACTTCCTGTCAAGTTTTGCAGGGTCCAATCTATGTGGTGGAATCAAAGCAGTTGGATTTATGACGCCATAAAACTCTCCAGCAGTGTGCAAAAGAATGAGGAAGTACTCCATCAAGGACTCGGTATCACAAGTCGATGATGAAGCGACAGCTCCCCCGGTGGCCGGAATTCAAGCATGCCACTTTAAGCTACCGAAGGCTTAATGGGAGTTGTGGTTTGGTGAGGCACCATCACCCTTTGGCAACTGAACGTCTTGCAAAATTGCAACTCCCAGTGTTGCAAAATATACGTTACCCGAGATCATTAAAATACTTTTGGAGAAGGAAGAAGATGGAGACAGCTTGTCCGATTTCCAAGGCTTTATTTCTATCTCTGCAGAGTATAGGGTGAACAGCTCAAATGACTGTCACAACCGAGGTCTGAATCGCTTCGATCTTTTATGGCAGAATATCACCCTTTCCACACATGCACAGAAAGAGTCTGACATTTACACAATACAATCATTAACAGGTGTTTCCATATATAGTTTCCAAAAACATCTTTATCAGGTCTTGGCACCTACATTGTGACCCCAAACATCTGCTCGATTATGTAACTTATTTCTTAATATGAAGACCATGAAGGAATTTACTTAGGATGAAACTCTTCTGAAATTGCCTGCTATTTACATTAAGTGGTCAGAAGATGACGCTCTCTCACCATATGACCTTAGATGTTCCAAGTCTTGGATCGATACTATTGATTTCTTTGTCCTGCCAAACTTCTCTTGTTGACTTTATATCTATGTAAACATCGGCTAGAGCAAACTGACCCAAGGTCCAGTGTCAATCAATATCATCTGTAGGTTTTTCATGTTTTCAAATTTACTCATTAGAAATTGTCTTTTTGGGATCGGGTAGGAACATGAATCTTCTATTTTATTCTAAATTATTATGATTTCACTTTATTATTTTATTTTCTCCTAACGGCTGCCACACCAGGATTCCACAGCATAATTCTACACTGGGAAGGAGTCCCAAAGCAGTGTTGCAAAGGCAGAGTTTTGAGTTTTTGAGGTACATGTGTCACCTTTCCGTTGGGGTCTTTGGGCTGGAGGTCAAAGGCACGGATGATGTAGACCCGGAGGAGGCACTCCTGGGGGCCTCTGGCCGGCAGCTGGTGGAACTGGCGCGGAGGGAGCGGCACCGAGGGGTCATCCGGGAGCGCATAGATGCGGAAGGAGCCCTGCGGGGAAGGAACATGGGCGCATTGAGGAAGCAGGTAACAGAGTAAGAAGGGACCCCCAAGAGCCATCCAGTCCAACCCCATTGTGCCAGGAACTATCCAAGCATCCCCAACAGACAACCATACAGCCTGTCATAGAATCCTAGCATCCTAGAGTTGGAAGAGACAGCTAGGGTCATCTAGTCCAGCCCTATCCTGCCAAGCAGGAAAATATAACACTATGTAACACATTTTTTTTTGTTCCTGGGTGATCAATGTCATTATTGTATTGTCAAAGGCTTTCATGGCTGAAATCACTGGGTTGTTGTAGGTATTTCAGGCTATATGGCCATGTTCTAGAAGCATTCTCTCCTGACATTTCACCTGCATCTATGACAAGCATCCTCTGAGGTTGTGAGGATGTCATTATTTTCAAAATGTCATTATTTTCTAATTAGTTATGTCATTAAAACATTTATGGAAAAAATTTATTAAACTGCAAATACTTTGTTTTTGCCGGAGGGACATCCTGCTCTAGCACATTTTGCTCTAGTTTTCCATGCTCTAGTTTTCCATCTCATCCATAATTGAGTCCCAACCAATTCAGCCTAGTTTGTGGCCCAAAAATAAAGTTTCTGGAGAAGAGCAACTACTTTCAAAGTAAGGACCGCACAATGGAACAGGAAATAACACTTTTGAACCTGGAACAGAACTTTTTCCAAATTTTGTAATCAAAGCCCTCCCAACAGATGGCCACCCAGCCTCTGCTTAAAGGCCTCCAGAGAAGGAAGGAGACTCCACTGGAATCCTAGGAAGTAACTGAGATTTGGTACAACTGAAATTTAAAGCTGCTCTACTATATGTTGACCCCGTGGCCACTTGCTGGGCCCATCCTCGACCGGTTCATCCCGCTGGATGCAGGGGCTGTCGATAGGCTCATAGCTGCAGCTAGACCGACCACTTGCTCCCTCGATCCGTGTCCCTCTTGGTTGGTGAAATCCTGCTTGGAGGGATTACGTGACCCTCTGTTGAAGATCATAAACAGCTCCCTTGAGCAAGGAGTCTTTCCAGAGGGTTTAAAAGAGGCGGTGGTCTCTCCTTTGCTGAAGAAACCAGATTTAGATCCCTCGGTTCCCTCCAGTTACCGCCCAGTTTCAAATCTCTCGTTCCTGGGCAAGGTGATTGAGAGGGCAGCAGCGGAGCAGTTGCAGCAATTCCTAGACGACACAGCCGGACTAGATCCCTTCCAATCTGGCTTCCGTGCGGGGCACGGGACAGAGACTGTGCTGGTCTCCATCACGGATCACCTTCGATGCCAGCTTGACCAGGGCGGGTCAGCGCTGCTTGTGCTATTGGATCTCACAGCAGCATTTGACACAGTCGACCACAATCTCTTGACCCACCGCCTTGCTGTTGCTGGAATCAGGGGGACAGCTTTAAACTGGCTGTCCTCCTTTCTTCACAACCGTGGACAGCGAGTGGAGAGGGGAGGCCTGGTCTCTGAGAGGTCCCCTCTATCTTGTGGGGTTCCTCAGGGGGCCATTCTCTCCCCTCTGTTGTTTAACATCTATATGCGACCACTTGCTCAGCTGGTTCGAGGTTTTGGGCTTGAGTGTTATCAGTACGCCGATGACACTCAGCTGGTGCTGAAGATGGAAGGCCGACCGGACTCTGTACCCGATTGTTTCCATCAGTGCCTCGAGGCCGTGACTGGATGGCTGCGTGCCAGCAGGTTGAGGGTGAATCCAGCAAAGACGGAGATCCTATGGCTGGGTGGATCGGGCAGTGGGGACATCCATCTGCCCACCCTGGATGGCGAGGCGTTACGCCCGTCATCATTGGTAAAGAGTCTGGGAGTCCTTTTGGACCCTCTGCTGATGATGGAGGCACAGGTCTCCGCCGTGCAGAACCGCCTTCTTTCACCTGCGGCAGGCTAGACGGCTGGCCCCCTACCTGTCCAGGGACGACCTAGCTACGGTGATCCAGGCCACAGTCATCTCAAGACTGGACTACTGTAACGCCCTCTACATTGGCCTCCCTCTGTCGGTGATTCGGAAGCTCAAGTTGGTACAAAACGCAGCTGCTCGGCTTCTTGCGGGAATTCCGATGAGATGCCACATAACACCAATCTTACTACAGCTGCATTGGTTACCAATTGAGCACCAGATCACTTTCAAAGTGATGGTACTCACCTTTAAGGCCTTGCATGGTCTGGGGCCAATGTATCTGAGGGATCGTCTCACCCCCTACCAACCCCAGAGATCCCTCCGTTCTGAGGACCAAGATCTATTGGAGGTCCCCAGTGTCAAGACCTTGCGTCTAGCGGCAACCAGACGCAGAGCCTTCACAGCAGTGGCGCCATCAGTCTGGAATGCTCTGCCACCTGAGGTTCGTGCCCTGCGGGACTTACCAGCTTTCCGCAGGGCATGTAAGACATACCTGTTTCGACAGGCTTTTAATGTTTGATACTGTTGTTTTTAAATTGTTTTAAATTGCTTTTAAATTTTGTTAGATTTTAGCCATTCTTGTAAGCCGCTCCGAGCCCCAGGGAAGGGAGTGGCCGCATAGAAGTTTAAATAATAAATAAATAAATAAATAAATATAGATTTAAAAATGAAATCAACATGCAAAGAGGGCGAATGTAATAAGAAATTTAATGTGCAGATTAGGGCTGGGCGGTTTCGTTTCGTTAATTCGTAATTCGTTAATAATTCGTTAATTTTTTCAATTACAAAACGATAACGAACCATTCTGGAGCAATTATTAAAAAAAACGAATTTTCAAAAACGTTTTGTAAATGCTTCGTATTTCAATATTGTATTCGTTTCGTTATTGTTTTGAGGTCGTTTCGTTATTATTTCCGCATGTCTGGGCCAGTTTTATGGTTTAATTAGTGAAAAAAAATTATAATATCACACCAACAGTCAACAACAGAGGGAGAGGGAAGCTTCAGAAGGTTTTGGAAGTTTTTTAGCGTATTTCGCGGTCGCGTCCGCCATTAACGAATCGATTCGTTATTGTTTCGGAAATCGATTCGTTAATTTTTTACCATTTACGAAATTTCGTAAATATCGAACTTTTTAAAAGGAAAATTTTGTAATTATTTTAAATATCGAAAAAAAAAAAAAACCCCAAATACAAATCGATTTTAGAAACAAATTTTTCCGTTGTTACCCAGGCCTAGTGCAGATTTGATACATGTGGATTTCATGACATATGGTATGAATGGAAGAATGGAAGGATGTATGGGTGGAGTTAATCATTTTGTTTTTGCAATATTTTTTATTGAATTATTTTGTGTATACATTGAAAGTGGGGGAATAATTGTGAAGAAGATAGGAAAGTAGGAAGTGAAAGTGAGGTTAAAGAATGGGGACTTGGAGAGGTGGGGGAAAAGAAAAGAAAAAAAATAAAAAATAAAAATAAAATGGACTTCCATCTGTTCTTCGAAGATCTTCTTTGAGTTTTTTGATAGATAAGAAAAAAAATGGAAAAAGAAAAAACTTTCCATTTAAGTAGTTCAGCATGCTTTCCTGTATTACAGCTATCGTTGTTTGTGTTATTTTTCTTCAGGAAACGACCTCTATTTTTGGTTGTTCAAGGTACTTTTTCACCAAGTCCCAGTTTGTGTGTATCTTCGGTTTTCCTTCATTCGGCGCGAGCCAGTATGTTAACTCGTCCATATTCATTATTTCTAATATTTTACTTTGCCATTCTTCTCTTTGTGGTATTTCTTTCTGCCTCCAAATCTTAGCATATACAATTCTCGCTGCGATGGTCAGATAATTAAAAATAATGTCTTTATTTTTGTCTCCATTAACATTAAACATTCCAAGCAGAAAGAACTCTGGTTCCTTTCTTATTTTTATTTCAAGTATCTTTTGTATATCAGTGTGAATTATAGTCCAGAATTTTTTAGCTTTTGGGCACGACCACCACATATGGTAGAAGGATCCTAATTGCTGTTCGCATTTCCAACATCTGTCGGATGTATTTTTATTAAATTTTGAGATCTTTTGTGGTGTGGTATACCACCTATGTATTAGGCCTGTGCGGTTTCGTTCGTTAATTTCGTAATTCGTTAAACATTCGTTATTTTTTGCATTTACGAAACGATAACAAAACACTTTTTTAAACCCGGAAGGGTTTAAAAATAACGAAGCGGCATCCCCCATCCTTTTAACGAGTTTCCGCCCGTTTCGGAAATTGGATGGAGGATGCTGCTGGTGCCTGGGAGCCAATCCGGCGCTCCGGCGCCCCTTTCTCTTTGCCCCGCCCCTCCCCCGCGAGCGCGCTTTGCCTCCTTGCTTGCTTGCTTGGCTTGGCTTTCCCTTCCCGGCAGAAGGATGGCGAGCAGCGCAGCGACTGCTGGAGCCGCGGCTGCGGCGGCCGAGAAGGAGGCGAGCCAGCAGAGCAGCCTGGGCGCCTACTCGCCCGTGGATTACATGAGCATCACCAGCTTTCCCCGGCTGCCCGAGGAGGAGGAGGCGGCGGCGGCAGGAGGAGGAGGAGGAGGGGGCTCGGAGAGCTGCCTCCGCTCCCGCAAGGAGGAGGATGCCTTCCTCGGGGAGCAGGAGACCGGTGAGAGCGGGAAGGAGGGAAACACCCGCTTGCCTGCCTGCCTGCCTGCCTCCATCCTCCCTCCATCCACGCATCCACGCATCCATCCTCCTCCGAGCATCTTCTCCCTTGGATCATGCCCCCTTCTTCCATGGTGCAGGCTCCCCTGCAGCCAAGGCCACCCTCCTCCTTGCCTCCCTCCCTCCTTCTCCCCTTTCCCTCCTCCCTCCTGTTGTGGTTCAGCAACAGCATGATGGACATGATGGGATTGAGAGTGCAAGTGGGCATGATGGGAATGGGAATACAGATGCAGGTGTGAGATTTCAGATTTCTCAGTTTTCTCAGCCACAGTCTGTAGCTAGAGAGAATCCCTTGTTCTCAAGGGAAAGGAATGTGGCTGATAACACACTCGGTGAAGGTCAGCGCGAGCTGCAGGTGTTAAGGAGAAGTTTACGGATTGCGGCCAAATCTTGAGGCCATCTGCTGGTGGGAAAACTGCTCGTTAGCTGTTCTGTTTAATGTTCAATGTTTTGATGATTTTCCTATAAGAAGACTGCTTGAAAGCTGATTCAGTGTCAGATCCAACTTTGCAATATGGATTGCTGTACTTTTGGCTCTAGGGCTTGGGGCCTTGGGGTTCATTTGCTTCCTGTAACTTCATGCTATTGCCTGGATTGTATCCTGCTTCTTTGCCTCAAGTTTCCTGCCTTGATTCAACAGAACTTTGGACCTATACTTTGTACCATTGAACTTTTACTGCTTTTACTTGGATTTGTTTTGAACTTCAATAAACTTCTTTCTTCTCAAGTTTGGCTGTTTTGTCAGAGAGCAAGGTGAAGCTTAACCTGAGACGCAACACCGCCCTCCCATGTCAAGCATCCTCTGATCTTCACCAAGGACTCCCAAACTCCTCCTCCTCCTCCTCTAAGGGCTTTGGAGTTCAACTCCCAGTGGGGACCCCCAAAGGTCATCCAGTCCATCCCCCTTGTTTAGAAGCAAGTTGAGGGAGCCCCCTTAACGAATCGACCCCGCGCCAATAACGAAGCTTCGGAAGTGTTTTTGCGCATGCGCGGGGGTCCGCCATCTTAACGAATCAATTCGTTAATATTTACGAAATTTTCGTAAATATTAACGGATTATAGGGGGGAAATTTTGTAATTATTTTAAATATCGAAACAAAAAAACACCCCAATTACAAATCGATTTTAGAACCAAATTTTTTCTTGATCAACCAGCCCTACTATGTATCATTTTAATTGATTTTCTTTCAAATTATATGAGTAAGTATATTTCATTTTTTGATTCCAAATCTTCTCCCATTGATCTAATCGAATTTGGTTCCCTATATTTTGTGCCCATTTAATCATAGATTCTTTTATCTGTTCTGTTTCTGTAGCCCATTGTAGTAGTTTTTTTGTAGATTTTTGTAATTGTTTTGTTTTTTGTCTTCATAATTGTGTCCCAAAATCCTTCTTTATCTCCAAAATTTAACTCTTTGTCAGTTTTGTAGCAGTCTAGGATTTGTCTATAATTTAACCATGATAAATTAGTGAAAATTTCTTTTACCTCTTTTTCTTCTTTTAATTCAAATTTTCCTTTCTCTTTCTTTAATACATTGCTATAGGTAGGCCAGGCTTCCCAGCCTAGCTCTCTCCTGTGAAATGCTTCTAGGGGCGATAGCCAAAGTGGTGTGTTAATATAAAGTCTTTTTTTTTTTGGTATTTTTCCCATATTTTGATTAGTCCTGCTCTTATGTAATGATTATTGAATCATTTTGGAAGCACCAGTAAAATATTAAGGCCTGCTGCAATGACTAACTACCTGCTTGCTGGACTGTAATTAAAAGTTGCTAATAAGAACTGCAGGTAGCTAGTCATTGCAGGCCTTGGTCTTTTAGAATTGGTGCCTCCAAAATTATTAGCTCCATCCATACATCTTCCATTCTTCCACTCATACCAACACATCATTAAATCCACATTTATCACATCTGCACATTTACCGTATATTCCGGCATATAAGACGACTGGGCATATAAGACGACCCCCAACTTTTCCAGTTAAAATATAGAGTTTGGGATATACTCACCGTATAAGAATACCCCTCTTCCAACACACACCCTGAAAGGGCCCTAAGTTATTATAAACTGACTAAACAACTTTGTTTTGGTCTCTACATTGTCATTTATTGCAGCTTGCAACTCTTTGCCTCTTTCTACGTTGCCTTATAATGCAGCGTATAAGATGACTCTCATGTATAAGGCTACTCCAGTGTATAAGACGACTCCCGCCTATAAGACGACCCCTGACTTTTGAGAAGATTTTCTTGGGTTAAAAAGTAGTCTTATACACCAGAATATACAGTAATTGCTTATTACATTGCCATTCCTCACAGGGCTTGGTGTCCAAACCATTGACCCTTCTTTGGACCCGTTCCAGCTTGTTCATCCCCAGACTCTGACCTTAAGAGAGAGGGTGTATCCACGCTGCAGAATGTAAACACGGTGCGACACTGCTTGGACTGCTTTGGATCAATGCTATGGGATTCTGGGAGTTGTAGGCCTCCATAGCATTGCGCTTTGACAGTTCAAGCAGTGTCATGCTGCGTTTATATTCACCGAAATACAACACCGCCTGAGCTCTGCGAGTGCAGCATTTTTCCGAATGAAGCAGAGAGTGTTTGAGGGTATCCGTAGGGATACCAAGGTGCTTGTCTATAAAGCTATTGTCCTCCCAACCCTGCTCTATGCCTGCGAGACGTGGACTACGAGGGATTGCCTAAGTATATTCTGCAGAACCCAACATGCCAGTTGGCCAACCTTGAACTCCCCAACGACGGTGGGGTCTTCGCTGGCACCCTGCGTCTTGCCCCGGAAGAGCTTGAAGGTGTGGCAGAAGTCGGAGAGGCCCTCAAAGCCTTCCACGTTCTCCAGTTCCGTCTCATAGACCTACATTTGAGGAAAGGGAGAAATATAAATATGGAAAGTCTTGCATTTCTCTTATCGCTGTGTTCCCAAGACACCAAACTCTAAATCCAGCAAGTAAGGAGGTTTCTTACTTCATAAAGTTTGCCATCAAAACTGTATTTTCACATAGATTCAATGCTGAGGCATTTCTGTCTACCATTCTTCACTATGTGTGCATCTATGTTGTATGAGGGTTGAATGAAAAGTAATGCCTTCACCTTCATTACTTGGGTTTGGATGGGAATATTTTAATAAATGAAACACAGAAATAATTCTTAGAATGTGCTCTTTAACTACCACTATAGTAAATAATGAGTACATGAGGTGTTTTTTTTAGAGAGAGAGAGATACTCTTTCAAGGCAGTGTTCTCATGCTGAGATCCCTCCCTTTGCCCTGCCAAGGATTGGAGAAGAAAGACTCTGAGATCTGGGAACCAATCATTTTCGGTTGCATCTACACTATAGGACTAATGCAGTTTGACCCTTCTTGTGAAGGAGGCATAAGCCTAAGAAATATTAAAAAAATTAAAAGCTTTAACCGAAATGTTAGCATAGAGGTCATACAAAGTTCCAGATTTTGGCTTTTTGAAAAGTCACTATTTTAGCAAGCTTACATAGGAAGTTGGTTTGTGGTTAAGCGCAAAGTCTGCAGGTTCGAGAAGGTACTTTCCATCAAGAGGTTGATGGGACAGGAAGAGTAAAGCTCAAAGTACTTTCAGTGACAAAAATATTCTTGTTTACCTGAGGGTATATAAAAAGTTTGCAAAAACAGAGGAGGACGCAGCAGTCTGTGGGAGCCTGTGTGGAAGTGCTGTCTGTTCACCTCTTGCTGATCAGCTTGAATAAACGGTGTCTTACCTGAACCTATTGGACTCTGCGGACTTCTTCGAAAAGGGACCCCGCACCCTAAACCCATGTTCCCTTACACTTGAACTGCCATGGCTCAATGTGATGAAGTTCCTCTTACCTTCAGGGTGTCGAAGCCCTTCTCCAGGTAGGAGCCGCACTTCTCCCGTTCCCCCGTGGAAGCAAAGAACTTGCTCCACCAGTCAATGCATTCTTCCTCCTGCAAGAAAGTCAGGTTTAGAAAGGTAGGCAAACATCACCCATCCTTTTGAAAGCAACTAGAGAAACGTTCCTGGGGTTAAGTTCTTGTGGGTTTTTTCGGGCTATGGGGCCATGTTCTAGAGGCATTTCTCCTGACGTTTCGCCTGCATCTATGGCAAGCATCCTCAGAGGTAGTGAGGTCTGTTGGAAATAAGACAATGGGTTCCTGGGGTTTATGCAGCCTCTCACACACACTTTTGGGTTCAGCTCTAGCGGATTTGGTTATCCTCAAGTTGGATTGATTCGTTCTTTCTAGACTTTGCTAGGCATTTCTAAGTTATTTGACTCTGCAGTCAACATGTGGTGGAAACTGAGCACAGATCCTGGAAAGAAGTGATGAGGGGAGTGCCATCAGCAGGGTTCCATCCTGGGCCGGTCCAATTCAGGATCTTTATAAATGACTCTCCAGCTCATCCCTTGTTTGGGTATCAGCCAGCACATCAATGACTTAAATCAAGAAATAGTTTTCTAAGATCTACAGAGACGCTCGCTGGAACACCTCAGCAAGCGAGAGTCCAAAAGTGGCAGGCTCAAACCCAGAACCTCAATCAATGACTGATACCAACTGAGAGACTCCCCCCTGGGCACACAGAAGACTGGGCTTTGAATGCAATATTCCTGCTTCTTGGTAGGGGGTTGGACTGGATGGCCCATAAGGTCTCTTCCAACTCTATGATTCTATGGGCGACTTGGAAGGCGCTGAAAAGACTGCGCTCTGGCACCACAAGATGCAGAGCCAACCTTAACAAATGGGGCCACAAAGTGGAATCCACGACATGCGAGTGTGGAGAGGAGCAAACCACTGACCACCTGCTCCAATGCAACCTGAGCCCCGCCATATGCACAATGGAGGACTTCCTTGCGGCAACACCAGAGGCTCTCCAAGGGGCCAGAGACTGGTCAAAGGACATCTAATCAACTACCAAGCTTACAAACTCCCAAATGCCAAGGTCTATTTTCCCCAAACCTCTCCAATATTTTCTGTTCGTGATGGGAGTTCGGCTGGTAGGCTGATCAGTAAACATATTGATGAGTTCCCTACTGTTATATGAAGACTGTTACATCCATAGGGAGACCAAGGTGTTTGTTTATAGAGCTATTGTCCTCCCAACCCTGCTATATGCATGTGAGACGTGGACTGTCTACAGATGTCACATGCAACTCCTGGAACGATTCCACCAGTGCTGCCTCCAGAAAATCCTACAAATCTCTTGGGAAGACAAGTGGACAAATGTCAGCATGCTGGAAGAAGCAAAGACCACCAGCATTGAAGCGATGGTCCTCCACCATCAACTCCGCTGGACCAGCCATATTGTCCGGATGCTTGACCACCATCTCCCAAAGTGGTTGCTCTACTCTGAACTAAATAACGGAAAACGGAATGTTGGTGGGCAGGAAAAGAGATTTAAAGATGGGCTCAAAGCCAACCTTAAAAACTCTGGCGTGGACACTGAGAACTGGGAAGCCCTGGCCTGTGAACGCTCCAGCTGGAGGTCAGCTGTGACCAGCAGTGCTGCAGAATTTGAGGAGGCACGAATGGAGGGCGAAAGGGAGAAGCATGCCAAGAGGAAGGCGCGTCAAACCAACCCCGACCGAGACCGCCTCCCACCTGGAAACCAATGCCCTCACTGCGGGAGAAGATGTAGAGCAAGAATAGGGCTCCATAGTCACATACGGACCCACAAGAATACTGGAAGACAATCATCCTCGGAAAGCGAGGGATCGCCTAAGGTTACCCATGCTATGGCATGCTTGAAATCAAAATTTCATTTATTTGTAATTAGAAATGAATATTTCACAATGTATAATTACATATTGTTTTTGTGATTAATCACTATGCTTTATGTTTAGTTTGTATCAATGAAAATACATCTTGCAAATCAGATATTTACATTACGATTCATAACAGTAGCAAAATAAGATAGGAATTTGTTGATAGCTAAAAAAAAGAACTACAGTCCGGCTCTCCAACGGTCTGAGGGACAGTGAACTGGGCCCCTGTTTAAAAAGTTTGAGGACCCCTGTTCTAGAGGAGGGGCCCTGCAAAACTACAGGAATCTTATGAATGCACTTCCCTGTGCAATGCACATCCATGCTCATCCATGTGCCTTGATGCTCATTAAACGCACAGGAAGTACTTGCATGCTACATTTGCAACAGAGATCAACGTTGCACAGGTTAGCCAAGGCATGCAACTGAATGGGCCACCAGGTAGGTGCCTGTCTCTGCCCGTGCATGCTCTTCTGCATCTTCTGCAGCCCCCAGACAAAAAGGAAGGGGTCGGGAAGGGGTCTGTAGATTGTTTGAATGTTGAACACAACCCTAAGAAAATCCAACCAATGCTCCGTTCAGCAAAGGACAAGAGGGATCCTCTCACCTCTGCAGGAGTCTACCACGTACCATGCAGCTGTGCACAAGAATTCTCCATAGGGACCACCAAACGCAGTATTGCCCAGACACGCATCAAGGAACATGAAAGGCACTGCAGACTCCTTCAACCAAAGAAGTCAGCCAGAGCAGAGCATCTGAGGAACCAGCCTGGACACAGCATATTATTTGAGAACACAGAAATGCTGGACCACTCCAACAACCACCACGTCAGACTACACAGAGAAGCCATTGAAATCCACAAGCAGGTGGACAATTTCAACAGAAAGGAGGAAACCATGAAAATGAACAACATCTGGCTACCAGCATTAAAAAACTCTAAAATTACAACAGCAAAACAGTAGAGAGGAAACAACCAGGCACATCTTAACACCTCTCAACAAAACATTCCCCCAGGCTCAGCCAGGCCTTCAAATGCTAATGAAGGTGGTCAGCTGAAACATTCACACCTAGCTCCAGCAGAGAAGAGCTCCTTGCCCCACCCTGCTCTTTCCACAGATATATAAACCCATTGTCCTAGTTCCAACAGACCTCACTTCCTCTAAGGATGCTTGCCATAGATGCAGGCGAAACGTCAGGAGAAAATGCCTCTAGACCATGGCCATATAGCCCGAAAAACCCCACAAGGATCTAATGCACCTTTGCTTTGCAAGAACAGAGCCGGAAGCACAATACGGAAGCAGGAAGTGCCCCCAATCCTGCCGCAACCTTTCTATGGATGCATCTATCGCAGGCGTGCCAAGAGTATTGTGAGCATGGATTCCTTTTTGCAAAGGAAGCCAAGGAATGCTCTTGATTACAAAGAGTCTTTGGTGACACTTGGAAGGACCTCCGATTTTCCTAGCGCTGAGCAAAGTGCCATAAATAAAGATCCCTGATGGAAACCCATGCGCCTGTGTGTGCGCTGCCTTTAATTTAATATAACGCTGAACCAGAATGCGCACCCCCCCCCCTCCTTTCCCTGCCTCCCACCCGGCCGTATCTGATACAAATAAGCCATTAAGCGACAAGTTAGCACATGCGAGCCCAGCCAGAGCCGCAATCTGCAAACTATTTGGGGTAATTGGTGATTTGCTGCGCTTGCAAGGAGCCTCCCTTCGGAGGAGCGAGCGGCGCATAGTTCACGGTGGTGGCGGCGGCAGCAGCGGCGGCCTCTCCGGTTTCCCTTCCCTGGAAGAGCCACCCGGCTCAAGTGGCTCCAGATGCCGCCGACTGACAGCCGATACCCGGCTCCGGGCTGGGAGGGAAGCCCTGCCAGGAGGGCATTCCTGCGGCAGACCCCCACGGATGGACCCAGCCAGGCCCACATCTGGGACCAGTGGCCAAGAAGGGACACCCTCCCGGGGCTTTGGGACCCCCAAGGGAACCGCCGGCTGCAGGGAACATAGTCTCTTGGTCTTGGAACATTAGAACCACTGTCAGAGTTGAGCATAGGATGCAGAGCCCCTCGGTCTTGGAACCATAGCACCAAACCGTCAGAATTGACCACAGGATGCAGAGGACCAGGGGCTTAGAACCATAGAACTACACCATCAGAATTGATCACAGGATGCAGAAGACCAGGGGCTTAGAACCATAGAACCACACGATCAGAATTGACCACAGGATGCAGAGGACCAGGGGCTTAGAACCATAGAACTACACCGTCTGAATTGACCACAGGATGCAGAGGACTTGGCCTTAGAAGCATAGAACCATAGTCAGAATTGACCACAGGATGCAGAGGACCTGGATTTTACAACCATACCACCACACCGTCAGAATTGACCACAGGATACAGAGGACCTGGACCTTAGAAGCAAAGAACACAGAGGACCTGGCCTTAGAAGCATAGAAGCACAGTAAGAATTGACCACAGGATGCAGAAGACCTGGGTCTTAGAACCATAGAACCACACCATCAGAATTGACCACAGGTTGCAGAGAACCAGGGGCATAGAACCATAGAACTGCACTGTCAGAATTGACCACAGGATGCAGAGGATCTGGGTCTTAGAACCATACCACCACACCATCAGAATTGACCACAGGATGCAGAGGACCAGGAGCTTAGAACTATAGAACTACACTGTCAGAATTGACCACAGGATGCAGAGGACCTGGTTCTTAGAACCATTGAACCACACCATCAGAATTGACCACAGGATACAGAGGACATGGACCGTATAAGCAAAGAACACAGAAGGCCTGGCCTTAGAAGCATAGAAGCACAGTCAGAATTGACCACAGGATGCAGAGGACCTGGGTCTTAGAACCATAGAACTACACCATCAGAATTGATCACAGGATGCAGAAGACCAGGGGCTTAGAACCATAGAACCACACCATCAGAATTGACCACAGGATACAGAGGACCTGGACCTTATAAGCAAAGAACACTGAGGACCTGGCCTTAGAAGCATAGAACCACAGTCAGAATTGACCACAGGATGCAGAGGACCTGGGTCTTAGAACCATACCACCACACCATCAGAATTGACCACAGGATGCAGAGGACCAGGGGCTTAGAACCATAGAACCACACCATCAGAATTGACCACAGGATACAGAGGACCTGGACCTTAGAAGCAAA